GGTTAAAGAAATGGCCAGAAATAGATGTGACAGTTGCTGCATCCATTTCTATATAAGGTCAAATGCAAGTATAATGGCTGGTAATCGAGATCTAGTAGACCAATTGGAAAGCTAGAATTGTATTATCTGAGGTTGAGAATTTAATAATTAACAATTAGTGGATGCGGTTTTAGTGATATTCAGAATAATCAAGGTCAAGCTCAGGGTTATCAGCTGGAGTCCAAAGGCTGGGGCTGACAAACCTTAGGAAGAACTTGATTATTCTGGATATCACAACGACCTCACCCAATAATTGTTTATTATTTTTTGGTAACCTGTTAACACAAGACTGCATTGGTACTTCCTGTCAATCAGACATCATTGTTTAAGGTATTGGTAAAAAGATTGACAGCCTTGCAAAAAAGAAAGACTGTGCTGTGGTATCAAAATGGAGGAAGAGCGTGGTCAACCACATGTTCTGGTGTGCTGCATCAACTGATGATGATGATGATGAAGATTTAAAGGAGGCAAAGTGGGTCTCAATCACCAATCACATCATGAACAAGCATGCGGGGCATGAATTGTTTCCCCAGTGACTGCATGGCAGAGAAAGTAAAAAGAAATGGCTCAAACCAGGCATGGTCATGTTTAATTGTGAATGTTATTTACAAGAAATTATGTTTAAATGATGATACAGTTATTATTTACCATTTATATGTGAATGTTGTTCAGGTTCCCAACCTTATGAGAAACTGACAGAGGTACTTACAAAGGGCACACTGGATATCAAGTAGATGTCTGGAGTACATGCCACCTCATCACTTGAGGCCTTTCACTCAGTACAAAACCACTTTGCTACAAAACGCTTGGCTTTCTCCTACCATGGAATGACCAGCAGGTAATTGTTGAAAACAATTACTTGGGCATGTGAAAAAGGGACTCTGCAGAAGCAGATAGAGAGAACGATCAAAGCTGCCCTCATTTAAAAACAAATTGCATCAACATCATGTTCTCACATTTAATCTCAAGATCCTGCATTATTCATTTTCAGGTTGCAGATTTCCATCTTACATTTCAATGAGAACAGCGATCGGGAATGTGCTAAATTACAGGATGGTACTGAGCGTGTAAACATTGCTTTCCAAAAATACAAGGGGGAACATACAATAAAAAAGATCTTAGTTCAATGCACATA